CAGCAGGAACTCATTCATTTCTAGAGAAAATGAAAAATGATATACTAGAAGACACTTTAGACATTTCTTACAAAACTAAATGTACTCTTACCACTCAGTAATTGCATTCCTTGATATTTACCCAAAGGAGTTGAAAAGTTATGTCCACAAAGAAATCCACACATGGATGTTTATAGCAGCTTTATTAATAAATGTCAAAACTAGTCAGCAACTGAAAACTTCGTTAGTTGAATCAATAAACAGTGGTACATCCAGGCAGTGGAATATTATTCTGCACTAAAAGGAAATGAGCTACCCAGCCATAAGAAGACATAAAGGAACCTTAAATATACACTGCTCAGTAAAATAGACCAATATGAAAAGGTTACATACCATACATATGATTCCAACCATATGACATTCTGAAAAACGCAAAATTTTGGAGACAGTAAAAATATCAATGACTGCCAGGAGTTGGAGGGTAGAGAGAGGAAAAAAAGGTAAAAAACAGAGGATTTTTAGAGTAGTGAAAATATTCTGTATGATACTGTAATGATGGAAATATGTCCTTGTAGATTTTTCCACACCCATAGGTAGCACACAAAAAGCAAACCCTAGTGTAAACTATGTACTTTGGGTGGTTAATATGTCAACAGAAATTCATCAGCTGTAATAAATGCACCACCCATGTGAGGAATGTGGATGATAAGGGAAAATATGCATGTGTAAGGGTAGGGGACAAAGGGAAATCTCCACCTTCCTTTTATTTGTGCTGGGTATGTTTTTAGGGAAACCCATCTAAGGAACCAAATCACCTCTGCCCAGGAAGTAAATGTCCCTAATTTCTACCTTAGCAACATGGGTCAATATGCACATAAATCAAAAATAAATCCTTTAAAAAAAACTAGCAGGGTAGCATCAATCAAACAGTACAACGACGTGGCAGTACTGTGGGGTGTGAGGTAGGGCATGGAGGAAGATCAAAGGAGCATAGACTTGATCTTATGAAACTGAAGAGCCATCAGAGATTTCTGAGCAGAGGAACTTATTTATCTTTGTATTCCATGGCGTGTGGCACACTGCCTTGCTCTTGGTAGCACTTTTTAGTATTTGTCACTTTTCTGGCACCAGAGAGGATTCTGGTCCCCAACCTGATGCCATACTCTGTTTACACAGGAAAAAAATAATTCCCCATGCTCTTGCACAGAGCAATTTTCTTTCTAGCCTCTGTGCCAAGTCATCCCAGGTCTGTGAACAATCTTTCTCTTTTAACTGAAGCCAAATGGCTGCTGCCATGATGTTGTCACTGCTATGGATACTGCTAATTTCTCTTTGGAGAAGTCAAATAAGGGCTGCTCCCGTGGAAGAAGTACTGTCCTGAGAGGCTTCAAGATGCAGGGTGTTAGTTCCTGGTCGACAAATATCTTGAGTGTAAATTCTTCCCATGTCCCTCTATAAAATAGACAAGTGATCTCTACATTCCCTTCTAACCTTAAGGGTCTCTGCTTTTAAATGCAGGGTCAACATACCTCCAGCCAGGCCAAAAGATGACTATATCTGCCACATTCTGGTCTACCAAGTGGCAGACTAATCTTCTGTGGTGGTTATCTATGTTTTATTCTTTGTGTACTTTGCCTCACATTCTACCTCCTCCTTTCTCATTCTAGGACAGTTTCCAGGAATGCTTGTAACTCTGCCTCCATAAAGCTTTGTGTTACTAAGCTAGAAGCAAATGCTTTCTGCCAGTCTTCTTTGAAATCCTAAATACACTGAATATACTAGGCTACTTTTCTCAACTGGGGTTCAGATAAAAGGGAGTTTTTCTCAGAGGCAGGAATAGCAAGATGGAGCAGAACCTCTTACTTAGGTGACCATAAAATTAGCCTTCAGAGGAAGGACATTTTATGCATAAAAATGTTACATTATTAGTAGCCACCCTAAACACACAGACATAAATGATGATGGTCCCTGGCAAACTGTGGTGTAGTTACTCTACATCAACATGAAATACAAGAAGCAATGTGGCATCATACCCTACTCCCTTGTCCAGACATCACTTCTCAATCCCCACACTCTTACCATCACTCTAAGCCCTGATGAGTCTAGAACCTAGGTCTCCACGGAGTGTTCCTGACATTCACTAGTAATCCATCAGTGTTGACCCTTGAATTGGAACCTTTCTATTTTAGTTAGCCTTGTAATAAAACCCAGATGTAGTGGATACTGTGGTGTGCTGTGCACATCCCTCTGGGAGCCCATGAGCCCATCCTCTAGCTGCTGAGTCTGCTGGCTACTGAGAGCTCATGGTTGGACCTCTTACCAATCATTGACCTCAGCTGAAGGAAATAGCCTTTCCCAAGGTCACATTGCCCTCCCACATGTACCAGAGAGGGTTAAGAAGGCCAGATATTTCTTGCCTCAACTTGGGTCAAAACTGCTAGGCCATCCCAGCTCCAGAACTAGACTAGCTGAGGCAGATGGAAGGTCAGCTTCTCTTTCCATCCAATCCTGACTTCCTCATTTTCCTACAAATATCTCTCTCAAGAGTGCACCTCAATCTTCTGCATACAACTCTCTATCTCTGGGTCTGTTTCTAGGGAGACCCATCTAAGGAACTAAATCACCTCTGGGCTATTAGCAGGAAGTAAATGTTCCTAATTTCTACTTTAGCAACATGGGTCAATATGCACATGTTTCTCTATCCTACATAAAATTCAAATGAATTAAACACTGCCCTGAAAAAAATGTATGCCCCTTCACTCTATAACCACCAAACAAGTTCTCTTCCTCTTGGAGCTCTAGTAGAAACACTAGGTTAAGGAATCAGAATGCCCACAGCAGTAAACAGAGCAAGCACTGTTAGGAAGACAGCAGACCTGAGTTTTAGTTCTGCATCTGCCACTAACTCACTGTGATGTAGACAGATCATTTCCTTTCTTTAGGTGGGTCCTAATTATCAAAAACCAAAATCAAAACTTGGAATAAGGCAAAAATGAGAGCCCTGCATTCTTTCAATGTTGTACAGGGGAAAAAACTATGTAGAGACTGTCTAGAGGAATGTAATTTCATTCTTCTCATATTTGTTATTGATTAGAGGTAATCAGATTGATCAGATTTGGTAAAATTACTTGTTTTCTGATAGAGATTTTTTTCTAATAGATATGCAAATAATTTTTGTCTATGGAATAGGTAACAACAAAAAATTATAGTCCAGCTTTTATGTAATCTAATAAATTTATCCTAAGCATATGTATCAATATTGCTTTTACTGCTTAAGTATTACTAACATTGCATATGTATATATAAGTATATGCATATACAGGTATGTATATAGACATATATGTGTGTGTGTGTGTGTGTGTGTGTGTGTGTATATATATATATATATATATATATATATATATATATATAAACATTTAGAATTGTACATGTTCTTTGAGGGAGTCCTAACATTTACTGGTTGTTACTAATTAATGAGTTAAATAGGCTCTTTTACATGTGCTTCATATTATATTTACCTCAGAGTTGCGATTTTACATTTTTGAAAATTATATTTCAACTGGCTTTATCTGTTTCATGATGGTGGAAGAAAACCAATCTATAATCCCATTTTGAGAACACAGGATCCAGGTACTAATGTACCACCAAAGCATCTAGAACTCCTTTCTGTAGAAATCTTTTGTACTATTTTCACCATTAGCACAGCCAAGACTTAGTAAGAGGGTCTTTCCCAAGGTTTCCTAAGGTTTGAAAAATATGAGCATTATATATTGTCCAGAGATGCTTAGTAGTCAAAGCAGGCCCTTAACTACCCCTCCTCATACATCATTCTATGTCTCATCTACCTGTATTTTCAGCAATATTACATGTGCCTAGCACACAAATATTCAATATATATCTCACGCAATGAAAACTTTTCATTGCAGTGACTAGAGTTTGGATATTTCCAAAAGACCAAACCTGTTTGCTGAACCACACTCCAAAGCACTGGAAAAGACAGACATCCCACAGCTACATAGGTCAGTGAGCAGTGTAACCTGGAACCAAAAATGAAAGCACCTGAACTTCACTTTCCTCCCCTGTCTTATGGTAATAATCTTTATAGGCTCATTATAAGGATTAAAGTAGTAAAATGGTATGAAGGCACTTAGCACAGGGCCTCACCCTAAGATGCCCACCGCAAAGTCCTTCCTTCTGCTCCCAGAGAACCTGCAAGGGCTTTGCGGCCTTGGCTGTGCTGCAGCTTCTCCCAGCCCCCACTCCAGCCACACAGTGATCAAGGGATGGGAAAATCGCTCTGTTCAAACAGGTGTCACTGTTCTAAACCTACAGTCTCATTTCCTGATCGTGTCTTAATCTGCTCGTCGGTGGTGAAAGTTGATTTCTTGCACATTCTTATATCAGTGGGAATTTCTGCCCTTGGCTGACAGGCATTATGGGCTGGCTTTGACATACAGCCCTACAGGGCCTGAACAGCCCCTATTCTTTTCCAGCCCTGAAAGGGAGCTTTGTGCCAAGGATTCATTAAACTGCACTGCACAGCCCCTTCATAAATGGGGCTCAATAATGAACAGTCGATTTAACTGGAAAAGCTGCTGGAGCTGTTAAATTAAAGGGAAATAAAGTGCACTTTAGGCTCAGTCTGCCAGAAGAAATGGCGACCTAAAAGGAAAATCTTCATTTTTATTGAATTGCAGTTTTTCAAAAAGTCTAAAATGTCCAGGAAGCTTCCTTGTGACAGGCAGTGAGACATAAAAGCTCAGAATGCAGACTCGGGATAGTGACTTGCTTTTTGTTCACTAGAGTCATCTCAAAGTGAGTCGTAGTCTCTTAGAGGTTGCAGAGGAATGATCTAATTTTGAGAAGGAAATATGAGGGGACTCTGCAATATTCCAGAAGGAGGGTTTATAAAAGAAACAATTGTCTCAAACAATTTTAAGACTAGGCTTTCTCCTTCATTCTTTGAATACTGGAAGGACCAAAAGCCACTCTTTTTAGTTTTTTCCACTACTTCAGGGAATCTCTCTGAATCTCTCTCCAAGGAAATGCAATTGTTTTTTGTTTTGTTTTGTTTTTTCTTACACTACAACTCAGAGCTATATTTGATTTGAGTATTTTCTCTGAAATCTGACTTCATGGATTCCTTTTTAGGCTTGAGATTTTCAGAAGTATGCACAATTACTCCAAACAACATTCTCTTCAATTCTTGAGTTTCTGCATGATGAGATAGAACTTCTACTAGCACTTGCTGAAAGTTATGGTTTCCAACAGCTCTCATATGCAAGGAGAAAAGCCACCATGCTTTAGCAGGTAAAACAATCATGGGGTGGTCCTAGCTGTTTTTGCTTAAGCTGCCATGAGCTGCAATTCTTCTTTATGTGCTCCTCTGTCCTTGTCTGTTTTCAAATATTTTTATATAGAGTCAGATCCAGGGTGGGTTACAGCTTGAACTCCCCCAGTAAAGGTCTTTTCTGGTTTTCATCATTAAGCATCTTGTCACCATCAAAAATGACAGACACTCATCATGGAGAATTTAAAGACAAATCTGAAAATCAGTGTGAAAAAAAAATAAAAGTCCCACTTCTATCCTGGTTATTTAGGGTCACTGGAATCCAAACACAATTTTCGTTTGCAAAGCTATATAGAAATGGCAAAACCTCTCTGCAAAACTTTTTTGCTCTCTTTATAGAAATTGCTTTGTTTTCTATTTTGAATTATAAGCCATTGATTCAATTTTTAAGATGTGGCATTAGGCAATTCAAAGTCACCTTTAAAATACTCTGAAGTTGAAAAACATTGTCCATGTCTTCATTTTTAATAGTAAGTATGACAACTCACTAAACTGCATTGTTTAATCTTTCATCCATCTACCATTAATGAGTCATGGTTGACCAGTACAAATCCTGGGCTCTCTGCATCATGACATTCTGGGTTCTTAATGGAACTGCTGCCTGTAACAACTTCTAGGAGAGATCTTGCACAGTGCCAGCCCTCAGAGTTAACAGGCTCTTCATTCACCTGCACCAGAACAACTCAGACTGTTACATTCACCTTCCATTGAAAATTGCCAGAGTCCAGAATGACCATGTGATTCTGTGTGGCTTTGTGTACCTAATTAGAGCTTTTGACATTTACTACGGGGTGAATATTCATTAGGAAATACACATCTGGCCACTTTAACTTCTACACATGGCATCCACCATTAGAATGAACTTTCCCAGTCATGACTTATCCCTGAACAAACTATCATTAGCTTATTCAAAAAACAGCCTTATGAAAGGATAAGAGCATTTTCTAGATCTGCATTGATCAAACCACAGGGAGACCACAAGTTATAGAATGTTGAGGATGTTACAGCTGGTATGGAGGAAAAGGCCTGGGAGGATGATGGTGATCAAAATCAACCCACAGACAGAGGAGCACATTACTTACACCATTGAATGGAGAAAGGTGTGCTTTTTTGTCCTTCCACTTTGTAATTTTTCTGAGGAAAAAAAAAAAAAGATATCTCAGTTCCTGACACAGAGTATGACAGAGCTTTAATAAAAATTTGAAAATGGAGTAAATGAAAGGGAAGAAAAAAGTAAACAAAAAAAAGGTGTGAGGGGAAAGCAATGTGAGACAATGGAGGGAATCAGCCTCCTTATATCGGAAAACATTTGGCATTTGTTTTTTTGGGATTGGATAACTTCATTTAGCATTATGTTCTCCATCTCCATCCATTTACCTGTGAATGCCATGATTTTATTCTCTTTTATTGTTGAGTAACATTCCATTGTGTATATATACCACATTTTCTTTATCCATTTATCTACTGAAGAGTATCTAGGTTTGTTCCACAATTTAGCTATTGAGAATTGTGCTGCAATAAACATTGATGTGGCTGTGTCCCTGTAGTATGCTGTTTTTAAGTCCTTTGGGTATAGATTTAGAAGTGGAATAGCTGGGTCAAATGGTGGTTCCATTCCCAGATTTCCAAGGAGTCTCCATACTGCTTTCCATATTGGCTGCACAATTTGCAGTCCTAGCAGCAGTGTATGAGTGTGCCTTTTCTCCCACATCCTCACCAACACTTATTGCTGTTTGTATTCTTAATAGCTGATATTCTGACTGGAGTCAGATGAAATTTTAGAGTAGTTTTGATTTGCATTTCTTTAATAGCTAGAGATGTTGAACATTTTTTCATATGTTTGTTGATTGATTATATATCACCTTCTGAGAAGGGTCTGTTCAGTTCCTTGGCCCTTTTAATGATTGGGTTATTTGGTTTTTTGGTGTTTAGCTTTTTGAGTTCTTTATATACTCTAGAGATTAGTGCTCTATCTGATGTGTGAGGGGTAAAGATTTGCTCCCAAGCTGTAGGCTCTCTATTCACCTCACTGATTGTTTCTTTTGCTGAGAAGAAGCTTTTTAGTTTGAATCCATCCCATTTATTGATTCTTGATATTATTTCTTGTGCTTTAGGAGTCTTGTTAAGGAAGTCAGATCCTAGACCAACATGGTGAAGATTTAGACCTACTTTTTCTTCTATTAAGCACAGGGTCTCTGTTCTGTTGCCTAAGTTTTTGATCCACTTTGAGTTGAGTTTTGAGCAGGGTGAGACAAAAGGGTTAATTTCATTTTGTTACATGTGGATTTCCAATTTTCCAAGCACCTTTTATTGAACAGACTATTTTTTCTCCAATAAATGTTTTTGGCACCTTTGTCTAGTATGAGATAACTGTACTCATGTGGGTTTGTCTCTGTGTCTTCTCTTCCATGTGTGTCTCTTTTGGTGCCAATACCATAACCATTTTTGTTACTATGGCTCTGTAATATAGTTTAAAATCTAGTATTGTGATTCCTCCTGCTTCTGATGGGACTGAAAATTGGTGCAACCATTATGGAAAGCAGTATGGAGATTCCTCAGAAAACTTGGAATGAAACCACCATTTGACCTAGTTATCCTACTCCTTGGTTTATACCCAAAAGACTTAAAATCAGCATACTAGAGTGATGCAGCCACATCAATGTAAACATAGCAGTTCAACTCACAATAGCTAAAATATGGAACCAACCTATGTGTCATTAGCTGAGGAATGGATAAAGAAAATGTGGTATATAAACACAAAAGGAATATTACTCAGCCTTAAAGAAGAATGAAATTATGGCATTTGCCAGTAAATAGATGGAGCTAGAAAATATTATGCTAAGCAAAATAAGCCAATCCCCCCCCCAAAAAACAAAGGCTGAATGTTATGCTAAGCAAAATAAGCCAATCCCAAAAAAACAAAGGCTGAATGTTTTCTTTGATATGCGGATGCTATTTCATAATTGGAGAGGGGTGCTAAGGAAGATATAATTACTTTAGATTAGGTAGAGGGGAGTGAAGGGAGGGGAGTGGGTATGGATTTAGGAAAGAGAGTAGACTGAATCAGGCATTATTACCCTATGTACATACATGATTACATGATAGGTGTGATTCTAAATCATGAACAACTGGAAGAATGAGAAATTATACTCCATTTATGTATGATGTGTCAAAGTACATTCTGCCTTCATTTATAACTAATTAGAACAAATTGTTAAAAAAAAATCACTTCTTACACATCCTTACAACTAACAGTAATCACCCCTCCTCTCTAAACTCTTCCAGTACCTTATCTTTATCTGTTTATCTCATCAGTAACTTTCTGCCTTATATTATATTTATTTCTATATTTAATCCCCCACATAAGGATAAAGGTCATAGAGGCAAGGGCCACACCTTATTCCTCTCTCTTGAAACTGTCTAACAAAATGTCTTGCACATACTAAGCACTTCAGTTGAATTAAAGGAATGGCTTGAGTTAGGGAGAGGAGAGACACTCACTGGAAACAACTCCAGGAGTCCAGAGCCCTAGCTTTGCTAACAACTAGCTATATGACCTTGGACTTCAGGTTGTCATTATGTTTGTTTGCAAAGTTAGAAGAGTGGGCTGAAACAGTTCTTTTTTTTTTAACTAGACTGTTACACATTAGTTGAGTGTAAAATTAATTTGGAGGTTAGCATTTTTGTAAATTAAATTTTAAAAAAATGTTAAAAAGCTATGAGAGAAATTTTAAATGAATACCATGAAGAAATGCCTCACAGAACTACATAAGAATGAGATCTGTCATCTCAGAAGCCTGGGATTCTCCTGGCTTAATCCTACATTAGTTCAAGGACCACATTCCAGGTATTTTGTGGAATGGATATAAATATCAGATATTTCTTTGACACCAATACTGATAGATATTTTGCAAACACATTGTTCTCTCTGCTTCTTCCCTTTCCATCAATCTTCATAACGATGCCTATCTACCCCTACATTTGCAGGGCTGAGACAAGAGCACACAGGAAGGCCCACTAACCACATGTTCTATATCACACTGAAAAACTGTAAAATAGAATATGTTCTAAGAGTCTGATTCAAGGTATGGTAGAGAAAATGCACAACACTCTCTCTCCCACTGAATACAACTATCCAACCTGGAAGGAACCCATAGGGCAGGACAGTTACAAGGACTCTAAGGAGTAAACAGCAGCAGTTGGGTTAGGGAAGACCAGAATCAGAATTGCCACCAAATCAGCAGGAAGTTTTCTCACTTGCAACTCTCTCCAGACTGGACTCAAACCAGGAAGTGAACAGTGGCATGGACAGAGAGGCACAGGCACAAGAAAATGCCTGTGTTCTGGATGAGCATCTCATTCAAAGAGAGTAGAGGAAATTCCACTTTTCTTTTTTTTTTTTTCTTTTCTCCTTTCTCTCATGCCCTGGCCCCCAAACAATCTTATAGTGGTGACAGTAGCACCAATAGCTGTGAGAGCAGCAGTAGAAACCTGTAGACATAGAAAATTTTGAAGGAAAGAATTTTTCTTCCCAGTCTAAGTAGCTGTGTTGTTTATTTAGAGGGTGAAATGAACCCTATTGCTTTCTTTATCTCTGTTCTTCCACCTGGTCCTGAAAGTGGGTGCAATACCAGCATAGTAGCATAAGTAAAGCCACATTTGGGCCAAAAGACTGAAAATGGAAAAGTGCCAGGAAGATTATTGAGCAGAGGAACCTGGAAAAAATAACTTATACTAAAAAAACAAGAAAGTTCTCAAATCAATAATGTGCTTCTACTTTTAAAAAGCTAAAAATAAAATAAAAGCCAAACAAGCCCAAAGCAAGCACAAGAAATCAAGTCAACAAAAATTAAAACAAAAATCAATTAAACTGAAAATAGAAAAACAATAGAGAATATCACTAAACCAAAAGTTGAATCTTTAAAAATAGTAAAACCTTGGCAAATCTCTAGCAAGAAAG